CCTTCCTATCCTTCCTATCCTTCCTATCCTTCCTATCCTTCCTATCCTTCCTATCCTTCCTATCCTTCTTATCCTTCCTATCCTTCCTATACTTCTTATACTTCTTATTCTTCCTATCCTTCCTTTACTTGAAACCTTCCTATCCTTTCTATCCTTGAAACCTTCCTATTTTTCAATTTTTATATCCTTCAAACCTTCCTAACTTTAGATCCTCCTATCCTTCCAACCTTTTTTCCTTCATATCCTTTAAACTTTATATCTTTCAAACCTTCCAACCTTCCAACCTTTTTTCCTTCATATCCTTTAAACCTTTCGTTCTTCATCTTCTTCAAACCTTTATATCCTGCAAACCTACCTGTTCTTCAAACCTTATAGAACCCTAAATCCTTAATATCTTTTTAAAAGTTCCCTTAATCATTCTATTAAATCTTTAAAATCAGTCAGGGTTTACCCTGAAATATCCCCGAATTCCCCTAAACGCCCCTAAAGCGTTAAAACTATTTAACTAAGGAAACGTAAATATAAACGTGTTGAACCTGATAAGATTAAGAACTAGCAATAATATAATCTTAGAAATTGAAACTATGTAGAATGTGTAATTCGAGCTTTGTACTCCCCCTCCCTTTCAAGTCATTTATTTATATCTTTTTGGTTTTATTTTATCAGCTGTTTAATTTTTTCCCTGGTTCGTTGATAAACTTAAACAAAAATAATTATTATCCTGGATAATTTTGTATTATTATCAAAATCATTATTACAACCATAATCATTGTTAACACTATTTTTATATTTATTATTATAATTTATTATTACATTATTATTATTTCTTTTTCATAATGATTTAAATTTATAGATGTAAATAAAATATTTTAATTATCATATTTTTAGATGGTACATACTGCATGCTCATCCGAACTATAGGAAACGGACCTAAGGGTTTTCTGATCCAAAAATGTATTATATCTTGAATTAGGTTAAGGTTTGTTAAGCTGGGTAGGTGGAGTTGAATGGGGGATAAATGTAGTTTTAAGGGAGTCGATTTAAATCCGTAAAACCACGTTGGGAATTAAAACTACTCGATATTTAGGTCAAAATCCCATTAGGTCGGTTTCCTCTAGGCTAGCAGATACTTCAGTAAATAATATGTTATGCCGCAGTGCCGCTTCATCATTTAAGTTAGAAAAATTTACAAATAATGCTAAATTGTTTATTTTAAATCTCTCGACTGGAGCCTTTGTCTTTAAAATGCTTAGTTACTCAGTCTCATCAGGTTCAGTGTTAAGTTCTCCGAGTGCATTGCAGAGCTTGCCAAAACTTTGTTTAGATATCATTATCTTAGTATAAACCCTCTAGATAGATCCAACCCACATATTGGAGTATCTCCTTGCAAGGGGCTGGGGGGGAGGGGGGGAGTACCCTTTGTTTAAATTTACTGATATAAAACTCTCAAAAAGCTGTAAGCTATTATTATCACAACAATCATTTCCTTATTTTCAGGGGGAGGGGTACAGGGGCACGTGACCCCCCACCATTTCACCAGTAGGGGACATTTTCTGGGACAAAAAAGAAAAGAAGGGGAAAATGAAAAGAAGGAAACGAAAAGTGAAAAAAAGGGAAAAAATCAATTTTTTTAACAATAGCATGTGTTACGGGTCATTTTTCTTCAAATCTAAAAATTTGTCTGCAATATATTGTTTGGCAATTTTTATTTGTATGTGAAAATTTTTGGTTTATTCTTGCATTTTGAAAATCTTTCTTTTCCCTTCTTTTTATATGTCCATTTTATTTTCTAAAAACATCAAATTTTTATCTGTATGACGATTTATTAAAATCGTCATTACAGATAAGCGAGCCCGTTAATTAGTCTATTATTGATAGGGGTAAGGTTTCCAATTAGAATTCCGTGCAACTGTTTTCGTATTGCGCGCAATTGTTCTCGTATTGCGCGAAATAGTGCAGAATTGCGCTGAATTGCGAGGGAATTACAGGGCACGCAATTGTGCGCCAATAAAATCCACTTGCGTTGGAAACCCTAGATAGGGGACATCCTACTTTAGAGCTAATATTTACCCAATTTGAAACAAATTGAAATTAAATTGAACTTCTTAGAACTAATACTCCAGTTTGAAGGTGTAGTTTAATAAACTTCGATTTTTGGAAAACTTAATATTTTTATGCTTTATCTTGAGTTTTTACAGGCATTTGCATCCTTTTTCATGCTATTTTCCTGAACAAAAAATTTCGGCTATTGTGCAAGGAATAATCTTCTTTACATACATTCATTTATTTAGGGTTTCTGGTCTTCAGCTCAGATCACAACATAATATCTATTCTGAACAGAGTTTTAGAATTATTATTCTTTCAGTTATAAGGGAAATTTTTTGTTATTATGCAAATACAAATTATCTTCTCAATAGCTTGTAAGAGAACGGATGACAAAGTATCTAAAATAAAACATGGTATGAAATAAGTTAAAAATCAGGTTTTAAGTCTTAATTCATAAATAATACATTTTCTGAGGTTTTCAGGTTAAAAAAAATTTTCTCGCATGCCTGTGTAATTACATTTTTGGTGAGCATCGAAAAATCAACAATAGCTGAAAAAAGAAAGATTTCCCTGCAGAATTTAATATTTTGGAGCCTATAATGCCGTAACATTTTTGAGACATCCAGCTCGCATTTGGAACATCCTGTTCTTGTGAGTTTAAACTCGTGGACAAATTAAAATTAGCCTTATCCTGGACTATACTGGACTTTACTTACATAGATTCCTAATATTTAACTAATTCAGGATTCAAATTTCAAGGTCAGTCAGTTCCGTTTTATATTTTTTCAATTTAACAATTTTAACGTTAAATCTCTTCGATTTTGAAAATTTAGACGTCCTAATCCGAGGAGTCCAGATATACAAACACTCGTATTTGAACAAAAAAATATAGTATAAGAAAAATACATTTTTCGCTAAAAGCTGTAAGATTTCCTTTTAATATGTTTAGTATAATAAACCAATGCTTGGCTGGTACTAAAAAGACAGCAAGTATATGACGCCCACAAAGGAATTGAGTTTTTGCCCCAAACTTTGATTTTTTAGTCTCTATATCCTTGTAACCCCATGGTGTATTTTCAAACTCTGAATTCTGGTAGATCAAATAGTCTAAGTTAAAATATCAAAGGTTTCCACAATCAGGTTGAAAAAATATAGTGATTAGAAAGTAAAGTTTGAGTTTGTGGCAAAAACTCAAAATATTCTGAATTGATTTGAAACTCTCATTGTTCCAAACAATTACTAAAAATGTCATACTCGTTAGACAGTTCATGTTTGAATTACATAACTGATTACTCGGCACAAATTCTAATTTTCCATTCTCTATATATTAGTAACCTGGATATCCTTGAATTCTGCTAGTCTAGATTTAGAATACAGGGTTATTCACAAAAGATGAGACTTTAAAGACGACTGTATGAAATTGATACTGCTTGTGATTTCCTGCAGTTGTTAAATTGTTTCTTTGAGAAATCATTAAATATGCCTTTTAACCTTAAGGCCTTTATATATTAAGAGACTCAGATCGTCTTTGTCTCATCCTTCAAGTGAAGAACCTTGTATAAATAGTTTTCACCATCAAGTTGCAAAGATATAGGAATTAGAAAACTAGAATATGGTAACATTGTAATTCCTTAAAAATGTTTATTTTTAATTGATTTTCTCCATGTTTAAGATCAACCTGTTATATTTATTTCATATAAGCGTCGGCCATTTTGCCAACATTTACACTCTTAAAAATTAAGTCAAATTAATGTAAATTTCATGTTAAATGGAATTTTTACATGTTTTCCATAACAACTTTTCTTTCTCAAGTGTTAATGAGAAAAAAATTTTAAATTTCTAATCTGCAACAACATAAATTAATGGGCATAAATCTAAACTAGAGTAACCATGAGGACAAAACGTCGTAATAGTAACTTTGCGAAAAGGAATTCAGAATGGCTTCAAATTTTAATTTTCCATTCCTGAAACCTTGATAGGGTTAACCTTGGATATTTCAAACTTGACTATTATACATTACAGAAATCAGAGCTTGAAAGGATTTGAGTCTTTCCCACAAACTCAAATTTTCGAATCCCTATATCTTTGAAACCTGATGGTGTTAACCGTTGCTATTAAAAACTTAGGTTATTTGCTCTAATAGAATTCATACTTTGAAATATCTAAGGTCTACGACATTGGATTGAAAAAATAAAGGTATTAGAAAAACAGAGTTTGTGGCAAAGACTCAAATCCTTTAATAATAAAGATCTATGACATCAGGTTGCAAAGATATAAAGATATTCAGTTTCTTTGATCTTTTCCTAATGACTATTATAATCAAAGAAAAATAAATTCACAAATATATTTATCGTGTTCACAAAATACATAAACGCACTAAGTTTAAACCCTGAGAGTTGATATATACTGAATGATGGTACAAGTATCACATATATTATAGGAATACATTTACATAATGCATCAACAACATTTTCTGGTTCTTATCTTACTTGATAAAAAGGAAAATTTGATGAATGTTAAATGCTTGGTTCCAAGTTCCAGGTTCCAGCTTTTCTGGTTCCAGGTTCCACAATTGTTTGGTTTGGCTTAAGGAAACATTTAAAATATTGAATGCCGCGCTTTGTTAGTCCTCTGCGTGCCAACTTGAGAAAATGCAATTGAGACTTCCGTTGTTTTGTCTCAACCTCTTGTTATCACATCACTGTCAAGGTTATCCCGGAGAACCGTCCTGGGACGAATATCCTAGTTCAAAGATTAACACATAATATAAAACATCTAGATCCAAACTGCTACTATAGGAGCAGGTTGTTGATAATCAAATCTTGACTCTGCAAAGTTTGCAAGATAACAATGTTCTGCGAGATCAACAGTTTTACTCAACTCTGACTCCAGTAATGACTAGTGAACAGGTTTAAATCGTTTAAATGCTTTTTCAGAGTCTGTTCCTCACTCTTGAATAATAGTTTTCCATTTTAGCTCCTTCTTTTTGGAACCTTTACAATATTTAGGATAAATAATTTTGGAGTAGGTATGTTCAATAGGAGAAGGAAGATTTTTTTACACAGAGTTGGCTGATTGAATCCCAGGACTTGAAGTTAATCCGTAGTTGACATGGGAGTAGCCAGGATTCCCCCACAGTTCAGACTTCATTAGGCCTTGCAGACCAAAACCTGTAGAATAGAGAGGATGAGGAGAAGCGCCTGCAGAGAAATGAGCAGAAGAATATGTATCTCCTGAACCTACTCGACCCGAATGGAATGATTCATAAGAAATCTTGGGAGAGTAGGCTCCCGGAGTCGGATACCTGAGATCTAGCATGGATGGATCCATTACACCATCAGGGGATCCAACACCGTCCATATCCCTGCAAAATAGAATATCATCAAAATCACATTCATCCGAAAATCGAAGTTTTTTCTTCAAAAATTTAAAAAGTTTGAAACGATCCTTATAAATAAAAATAGGTTTACCATTTAACCATTTGTTCTTCAACCTAAATCTCTCCTTATCAATCTTAGGTTTAATAAACAGATTAAGTCATAATTTGTTGCAATTTGTAAACATTCTTTTCAAGTTCTGAAAATCTAGCTGATGAAACGGTGGACAGGTTGGCCGGCAGCTAGACGTACGAGCCAGGTAAAAATTTTGACAAGCAAGAATGGGAGAAGTTTCGGCTTCATTTAACACAAATATTTTGGGGAAATTAACATTTTCATTGAGTTGGAAGGAGTAGTGAAAGCTTTCATTGTTTCCTGTATATCATTCAAGTTAAACTTAGTTTCTTTCTGCAAACAGAAAAAGGTAGAAGCATGGCATTCCCACCGAGCCGAGTTGTCTGTTAGAAATACTGCGTTAAGAAGGGGGGGGGGGAGGGGGTTAATGTTTTAAGAGTCATGACATTTCGGAGAAAGGAACTGATTTCTTGCCCCAAACTCCAATTTTCTATTTCCTATATCTTTGCGAATAAATGTCGAAGATTTCAAACTATGAATTCTGTTAAATCGAATAATCTAAGATTAAAATTACAAAGGTTTACACCATCACGCTGCATAGATAGAGGAGTTCGAAAATTTAGTTTGCGGCAAAAACTTATTCTTATTATTTTTAAAAAAGCTTACCCTCTCATCCCTGGGGTTCGATCTCTCTGTCTCCGGTTTTTAAACCAGTTGGAAACTTGGGTTAGGGTTAATCCGGTCTTTTTAGAGAGCTGACGTTTCTCATCAGGGGTTGGATATCTATACATAGTTTTTATTAGTTTCAGTTCAATTTTTTACTTTATTTAAGATTAAAACTAAATAAAACTTAATAACTCACTTGTTAAGTTTATACATTTCTTTTAGAGAATTTCTTGATTTCTCTTTAAAGCAATAAACTGTTTCTTCTCCGTCCCAAATAGTTCCCGGCAGAGGATATTTTCTCCGGAGTCTATATTTATCAACAGCTCCTGGTAGATAAAGAAATATTAGTTTCTTTTCTAAACTTTCCTTCCGACAGTGACATCCAGAAAACTGTGCGACCGGAAGACGACTTTATAGCATCATTTTTGTGTATTTGATGTTGTTACACAGCAAGCAGTTTTGTTAGTAACTTATTAAATCATGTATTAATTTAAATAGGTCTGTTTACACTGCACAATTGTCGTGTCTCTATTTAAAGTCATAAATTGAGTCTTAAAGTCGTCTTCCTTATCCAGAGTTTTTTGGTTCTCATTGTACATGATATCTGGGATTTTTTGAGAATGTTTTTAACCCAAATCATTCAAGCTAAGACTCAATATATTTACTGTCAAGCGAGTTCGTTTTTTTCAAGCTTTGTTGTTTGAGTTGAAATCCTATACAGGTGAAAGAAATCTGACACTTTGCAGTTGAAATAAATTAATATATTAGAGCCCGCCTATACGACGGCTGAAAACATTATTAGCAAATAAACCGCCGTCTGAGACGTGTCAGAATACAGGGTAGCTAAAAAGATTATTTCAGCAAGCATTTTAAGATCATATTTAAGCTGGGTCCCAATATGCAAATATTATAATATCTTGTTTAAACATTCAAAACTCTAGAAACTAATTTATACTTGCATTTAAACCATAGAAGCCTAGAAAACTTATATTAATTATGTTATTAATGCATTCCTAACAATTTCAGGCTGAAGTTTTTTAGCCAGATAATTAAATAATCAAAACAAAGACTAAACTAAACCAGCATTCATGAAATGTTTTGAAATCAGGAATGAAATTTATTTCATTAAAACCTGTGGATTTCTCAAGTGGGAAAATGGCGGCAAAAATGGTGGATATATAACCGAACGCGGCATTAATTAACTTTTCCAGGTGGTGATATTAGATACTCTTGCAACCAGATCAANGGGGGGTTAAGAAAAGGAGAAATGAGGCAAAAATGTAACAATATGATTAGAGGCCATTAGTAACCAGAGATAGACAAATTAGAAATAAACGGTGTTATCATCTATAATCATGGCCTCTAATCAAAACTTCTTGTCCTCGAATTGAAAACCTCACCTAAGGCCCGTCCTCTGATCTTCTCCGCCTCTGAGTAGTGTGCCTTGAACCACATCTCCTGTAGCTGATGATGGTAGGCGGTATCGAAGGTTCTGCTCTCCAGTATGTTGTAGAGCTCCTTGAAGTTTCCGTTCTGAAACGCGACCGCAGCCCTTGCTCGCATCACACTGTCTGTCTCCTTCTTAGCTGGGTCTTCGGACCAAACATGCAGAAAATGCCCTGTAAAATATTCATAAAAATATATAAAAACAAAAAATGTTTTTATCCTAATAAACTTATATAAATATAAAATAGCTTATTTGTATTGTTACAACAAAATTGGCTAAAAATATCTCTTGGTCAAGAAGTATTTGATACTTTGTTGCATTTTACTAAATTTTTCTTTTTCAGCTTATTTCAACTCTTAGATTTAAACATTAAAACCAAAATTGTTTATACGTTGAATACAGAAACAACGTAAAAATAAAAAAAAAATTCTTTTGAGCAATGATAGTTCATAAACAGTATCATTACGAAAGAAAGAAAAAAATGAGTATTTGAAAAAGTTGAAATTAAATATAGTTTTAAAATAATATTGAATAAAATATAATAAAAATAATAGAAAATAAAACTTTAAAAAATGCTAACTTAATGCAAAGAGAATACATGCATTTGAAGTCTTAGCGCTGAGTTAAGTCTTTATTTTCTTTTTAGCGCTAGGTCTCACATTTCTTCCAGAATAAAGAATTCTTATAATAAATCATTTTACATAAATCTTATAAACTTTGAAAAATATGGAAACCAGGCAAATCTATTTTTGGGCTTTAAGTTAACAGTTCCTACTGCCTACCTAACGTTTCAATGTCTCCTCTATTTTGAAGGTTATCACAAATGCAGTCTATCTGCTCAGGAGTGAAGGAGCATTGTGATTTTCTATCAATAGGTTCAGGAAGAATATGTTGGATATCTTTAGATTGATGACTAGCTGATAAAGGAGGGGTCGGAGCAGGGAATGGAACCACGTCCCTCTCTGCGCTCTCGTGGAGGTTGCAGGGGAAGTAGTTGTATCCGTTCCCCGGGGTGCTGGGGGACTCACACCCACTGGAGGAGGGTGAGGGGGTGAAGGTGGTTGGGTAGGAGTTATATGTATCCTGGGTACAGGTTGGAGTTGATGGTTCTGTCTTGTATTCATGACTCTGATCATATTGTTCTCCGGAGTTTGATGTAAGGGAGGAACTGTGGAACTCTGAGGATAGGTTGAGGATGGATGCTGTAGAGGTTAAGGTTGGAGCGTGTAGGTAGGATGGAGTATTGTATTGAACTCCCTGTTCCAAACCTTCCATCACTGAGTACATGATATGGTTTGTAATTACAGAAGAGTCTTGATATTCAATTTCAGAAATGTATAAAATATCACGGATCCGGTTTTTTTACTTCGTGTCCCCTTACAAAGCAGTAGAAGTAACTTGATCAGGCCGCGAGGTAAACTGATCCCTCTCAGTAAAAGGTAATGTGCCTGCGCTCCTCGACTCCGCCCCTAGACCGAGATTGGACCTTGCTACTCCGCTGCTCCGTCCTGATTGGATGAAGCTCCAACGGTTTCCTCGGAGCAGACTCCTAGGTTCTCTCTTCTCTCCGGGTTCAGGGAGAGAGGAGAGGATCTGAGCAAGAGGTGCGAATTAGAATCAGATGTGAGTCGGACACACAGAACTAGATTGATTTATCATCTTCTCTATTAAACCCTGGAGGATGGTTTCCGGAATGATTATTTCTCTCCGGTTCGTCCCTCCACCCTTCACCACCCCCTCAATTCATCTTACTTTATGATGACCATCTCCACCTCCTATTCAAAGTTTATTCACCTTGGTTAAATATATCTGTATTTTAAACATGATTAAATTAATTATATTCAGGTTTTCATAATTAAAAGAAAATAAAAATAAAAGTTATTAAATTATCTAAAATTAGCAATTTAGAGAAATAAAAAAAATATTTCCCAGAAACTTTTCCCGGAGAGAAGGTTACATATAACATTTTTGATTTTTTAAAGAACTGGATGTAATTAAAGATATGAAACTGTATATAAGAGAAATGTACAGATTTTTCTGGGATTAAGAGAAGGATAAAGATAAAATTTGTCTTGGATCAAGAGAAGGATAAAGATAACATTTATCTTGGATTAAGAGAAGGATAAAGATAACATTTGTCTTGGATTAAGAGAAGGATAAAGATAACATTTGTCTTGGATTAAGAGAAGAAAAAAGCTAAGGTTTGTCTGGGATTAAGAGAAGGATAAAGATGAAGGTTATCTGGAATTAAGAATAAAGATTATAAATGACTGAGATTAAGAAAAGACTATGATAAAGTTTGAATGGGATTACGATAAAGATAAAAGGGTTTAAGAGGAACGTAAAATTTGGGTTAAGAGAAGAGTAAAGGTTTAGTTTAAGAGAAGAGTAAAGGTTTTGTTTAGGAGAAGAGTAAAGGTTTGGTTTAAAGAGTAAAGGGTTGGTTTAAGAGAAGAGTAAAGGTTTGGCCTAAGAGAGGAGTAAAGGTTTGGTTTAAGAGAAGAGTAAAGGTTTGGTTAAGGAGAAAAGTAAAGGTTTTGTTTTTGAGAAGAGTAATAGTCTGGTTAAAGAAAAGAGTAAAGGTTTGGTTAAAGAGAAGAGTAAAGGTTTGGTTTAAGAGAAGAGTAAAGGTTTGGTTTAGGGGAAGAGTAAAGGTTAGGTTTAGGAGAAGAGTTAAGGTTTGGTTTTATAGAAGAGTAAATGTTTGGTTTAAGAGAAGAGTAAAGGTTTGGTTTAGGATAAGAGTAAAGGCTTGGTTTAAGAGAAGAGTAAAGGGTTGGTTAAAGAGAAGAGTGAAGGTTTGGTTTAGGAGAAGAGTAAATGTTTGATTTGAGAGAAGAGTAAAGGTTAGGTTTAGGAGAAGAGGTAAGGTTTGGTTTAGGGAAGAGTAAAGGTTTTGTTTAAGAGAAGAGTAAAGGTTTTGTTTAAGGGAAGAGTAAAGGTTTGGTTTAAGAGAAGAGTAAAGGTTTGGTTTAGGAAAAAAGTAAGGGTTTGGTTTAAGAGAAGAGTAAAGGTTTGGTTTAAGAGAAGAGTAAAGGTTTGGTTTAAGGAAAAGTAAAGGTTTGGTTAAAGAGAAGAGTAAAGGTTTGGTTAAGGAGAAGAGTAAACGTAAATGAATAGGATATCTTGTTTTACCGTTGGAAAACTGATTTTTTTCTATTTTCTCTAAAAAAAGTGACCTGCGGCTTTATGCTACAGAGACAATGAAGGAAATTTTTAGAATTTAAACGTTACAAGATAGAAACACGAAGATATCTTTCTCATTGTTACTCAGAGAGAGGTTTATAGGCTGGCATTGTGAATAAATTATGGAACTCTATAAATGGAGGAGCCCTGAAATACCGTCTATAGTCCTTGTAAGGAAAAAAAAGTTTCCGCTGACTAATATTCGGGTTTTGAGTGTGAGAAATTCAGTTTGGCTAAGCAGAGTAAAGGTTAGGATCTAGGGTTAACCACTTCTCAGCCTAACCCCTCATATTTAATCTTAAAGGGGACACTTAGTATTAAGATTTCTTCATTAGGATCTCAAATCAGCTGTAGGGTTGAACTCACTCAAAATCTTGAATTTAGTTAACTCGAAGTTTTTTCTTAATTTTGTTTTTAATATTTTCGTCAAACATATGTTTTAAGAGAGGATGGATATTCTTTATCCACTAATCATATGTTTAAGAGAGGATGGATATTCTTTATCCACTAATCATATGTTTAAGAGAGGATGGATATTCTTTATCCACTAATCATAAATGGAGTTTAAGAGAGGATGGATATTCTTTATCCACTAATCATAAATGGAGTTTGACCTCCCACAGTCATCATCCAATCCCCTTTACTCCCACCCACATGTGAGTGCCTCCCCCCCTCCTCCCCTCCCTTCACATGATATCCCTTCTAATTCCCTATATTAATTTGTCTTCGATGTGAGAATCCTTCACTTCCGGATTCAGGACAGCCCCCCCCCAACTCTCTTTTTTTGGGGACAGTCCCTTGCTTATCCTCTCTTTTCCAG